AGAAACCAAGAGATAAAATATGCGCTCTGTTTCTGTGATATTATGCAGAACTTTAGTTGTTCACCTTTGAATTGCAGCTTCTCTAGCACTGCATGATGTGTGTCTCAATTAAATGCCATATTCAGTGAAGCAGTGGTGTTTGCTTGGATTTGAATACTTGCAGAATGGAGACTATATTCTCATGTTCCTGCTCTAATCCAAAGGCCTGTATAAGTAAAGAGAATGATTTGCCAAAGAGGAAGAAGCAAATAAAAGGAAATTGTCTCCTTTTCTCACAGAGACATTTATTGCTCTGATGTTGTGAAGCTACAGTAAATTCAGCTGACATAACATAGCCAAAGTTTAGTGGTCTGTGAATTGAAAAAAGTGAATATAGGTCAAGTGTGCTTTCTAAACATCATCATGCATAAAGAGAGGAGATGGAAAAGGACCTCGTGTGCAGGCACCCCAGGAGCAAAGAGCAAGATCATGAAGTACCCTATTTTTCATAGCATCTAGTATCCCCAGCTGAGATTGAGCCTGGGAAATACAAGCACCTGCTAATAAGCACTTACAGTTCTCTCCTTCCCCTGCCCCCCCATCTAATTAGCCTGTAAACAGATGGAAAAGAAAATTGGAAGTAAGGAGATGATACCTTTTTGCCCAAAGACACACAATAGGTCTGGGGCTGAGCAAAAAGGAAAATGCAGGTCTTTTGTATCTCAGGATATTGCTTTTTCTATAGGACCGTGTTGCTGCTTAGCATTAAGTGTTTATGCTATCAGGATAAAGGTCTGAAATGGATTAATATTTTATTTGTCAAGACAAGATGACAAATGGGTGTTTCTGGGCTTCCTGTTTTAACACAATAAAATTTTAAAATGTTTTACTCTTACGCTACAGCATAGACAAAAGGAACTGTGTGTATTGCTCTGTCTTAACCTTACTATTAACATAAAAGCTGAGGATTCTTGAATTTTAGAGAAGTGAGTGTATATTACAGTTTTAAAATAAAGTTTAAAAAGACTAGAAATTGCCTTGATTCTGAGGAAAAGTATTTGAAAAACACTTCTTGCTGTAGCATGGCTGATGAAAGTCAAACTCCCTTCTGAATGTTGAAAGGATAGAACTCAAATAAAGAAATGTTAAATTCCTACAGTAATTTAGGGGATAGCAATAAAACCCTGAAACTAGGACAGTCATCATATATTTTGTGAAAGGGAGGTACCTGGCTGTCTGAATTCTTTCACTTGCTTTCATTTCCAACCAAGTAAATAGCATCTGTGCCCCTTAGTTTATGTCATGCTAATGGCCTACAGGGCAGTAGAAAAAGCTCCGCCTAAAGAACATGAAAAGGATAATAATGCTTTTGTGGTCACATCCGTTCCTGTTTCTCTTCTCTCTGCGCATCACTTCCCTCGCACTGTCAATGAGGAAGCAGAAAATGTGCTGTATGGCATTTGGGTTTAGGTGTCTCCAAGGGAATTTCCTAATAGGATGAATTTTGTTTCCTTGCTTCAAAACTTTCTACGGATAACTCCTCAACTATAATCAGATGCTCTGTTTTTTTTTCATAAGCTCATATTGGCACTTGAGATCAGCCAGCAATGGTTTACTGTCATGGATTTTGGCAGTATAGCAAGTCGTGGTATCATGACTAAATGCTGGTTCATGTAAAATCACTCTTGATGGCTCACCAGCATCTAACTCCAGAGAACTTTGTCAGAAGTTCCTACGTGTTTTTCACTTGTGTGAGTCTTACATCTTGAAAAATTGTATTTTACTGTAATGGCTAGGAAGCCTAGTAACCTGTTCTTAAGTGTGTGATGGCTTAGTTAATGTAGTATGCATAAGACTGTATAATTAATGCTTTTAAAAATCAACTCTAGCCTGCTTATACTTTGAAATCCCTTATACAGCCAAGGCTTCAGGAACATGTAGGAGATGAAGCACCTTACAAGCACGCCAATGATTTGGGTTTTTTTTGAGTTATAAGTCGGTTGCTAAATCTCAAAAAAAAATGCTTGTGTTCTATTTAGTATCTATCTTCAGTGCACCTATTCAGAGTTAAGAATCTTCTGTTGCTGCGTTTCACTAAGATTTGAAGCCATGAGGTAATGTTTTTTATAATCTTTAATGAAATTGCAAGGATAGTCTTCAAATGTATGGAGGGAAGGTTAGGCCTCTACCTCCTCTGACAAGTAAGTGGGAGTTTGGTGCCCTTTGGGATCTCCCCTGCAGTGCTTTTGACATGTTGCAGTGATACTTGCATAACAGCAGGTGGGTGGAACTTATGGGGAAAAAAACCCAGTCTGAATTTGGGAGCATTGGTCTTTCTGTAGTCAAATGAGCGTTCAGGTTTTATCTGACTGAGATTAAAGACCAGAGCACCAGATACGAGATGTGTATAGGCTCTGCTGCTAAAAAAAAATGAGTAGGAACACTCCTTAGTTTCAGTGGATATTGATCGAATAAGATCATTTAGGAAGTGATCCTTGGTGTTTAAAGGCCTAGAAGAAACCTTCAGCGGTGTTAATGAAACATCAGATCTGGTTTTGTGCTGTATTTGTTTACGGATAAAGCAGTCTGACTGGCCCAGTATGTCTTTGAAGTGTTCATTCAGCATCTTGGTTTGGGGAAGGCTGGTAACTTGGCTTCTTGTGGTGTTAATATGATACTGCTACACGATTCCTGAGGAGAGGGAGAGTCCAGTTGGTGAAGCAGCTTTTGAATTTGGGTAAATTATTACAGACCACCTTGTAGCAGCTGATGTCAACAAGGAAAAACATAACTGCTAAGTCTAATAGAAATGTTCCCTTAAATAGGGAACAGAATAAACTGGCCTTCTCCTGGAGTTCTCTGAACTGTTCATTCAGTTTTGTGTTACGCCTCAAAACCAAACATGCTTCACGACTGTTGTTGCAGCTTGCAAAGCAAAGTTAATTGTATGGAAAACTCTTAACAATAGAAACAAAATTCTTGTGAGAAGTTGAGCTGTGACCAGGTAATTTGACTTTGGATCTATACTGGTAGTTTTTTATTTTCTAAGCATTTAAAAAAAACCCAACCCAACAAAACCAAAGAAAAAACCCGATGTTTCAAAGTTGCCACCTTCAGAAACATTTAGCGCAGGTCTAGCAAACTATGCTTAAGTCATGGGGTTGTACAGATCTATGGGAGCAGCATTAGGTTAATGTTGAAGAACTGTGAAACCTCTGTACTTGAGTATCTTTTTCCAGGTACTTCTCTATGAAGTTCCCATGCAAAGTACCTATGTGCTTGTACAGGTGGTCAGATGTGGGGTTTATCCTGTTGCATAGTCTGATGAAGATTTCTCATGTTACCTGTGTGATAGTGAGAGGTGGAGGTCACTCCTTGTCTTCACACTCTTACTGGATTAATCTAGTCAGGGCTATGGAGATATAGTCAAGGTCTTGGTCATCTGGGTGGTGCTTTTGGGTGGGCTTCACCCCAGGACAAGCATACTAGAAATATTGTTGAGTTCCTCCTGTCTGACTTTGTTTACAGATTGTCATTTAACGTTGTTGAAGACTTGTGTTGTTTTCTCCCTTATTCTTCTGGAGTGTTTTCTAGATTTTCTTTTGACTTAATCTTTTTTTTTTTTTTTTTTTGGCTTTAATTGTAAGTGATCACAGTAACAAAACTTGCTTGGATGTCCGAAGTGGAACTTTTGTTTTGAACTTTGAGTCAGGGTGACTGGCTGCTGTGCTCCTTGCCTTTTTGTTGGGGTGGTGGTGAAAAGTGCGATTCCGAAGACCGTTCCCCAAGAACTATTTTTTACTTTACTAGTATTCCTATGCTTGCTTTTTTTTTTTAATCAATTTCTTATTGACATGTACTGCCTGAGACCATGATGTGAATTTCAGGTCCTAAGCAGATACCTGCACTAGGGCTGTTCAACTCAGTTGCTACTCTGGTGTCTTTGGTCGTGTCAATAGTCAAGACACAAAGCTTGGGGGGTGAGAAAAGGAGAGGAGCTCTGTCCTGTGAGGTACAATGCAGTTTGTGTTGCTGCTCACCTGGAAACTTCTTTGTAACTGTACTTCTGGCAGTGGTACCCATGAGTAGTAGTGTGGTCCTGAGCTTAAGGCATAAAACCCTTATGGAGTCATCCTCCATCAGGCAATCTGTTCTGTCCTGTCTTTTCTCCCTTTTGATTGATCATCTGATTGTCCGTTTCTGTCTTATAAAAGGTCATTCTTCTGTAATTCAGGTGTTACTGTTCTGACCTGCAGATTCTTGGAGTGTTGTATTTTCTCATGCTGCATTTATATGATTAGTATTTACCCTTGCAGTCATGTTGATATAACGTATCAGTGAAGTGTTTCGACTTCAAGAACAATCTGTGTTGACAAAGCATCAGTTTTGCTGGTTTGGTAAAACTACTACAGCCTAAGTCTTCCAATAAAACTGCATTATGCTTCTATGTCAGAGATAACGTTTCTGAGAATCTTAAGATGGCAGAAGTCTGTAGATGAGGCTGAAGTGGCAACACAAATTACAGCTGTTCCCAGACGTGGGGTACTAATACTTGTATGTTGAGCAGGAGTTACTTTGGTTTGGTTTCTTTTCTCCCAGCCTCCTGACTGAAACAACCTCAAGCTATAATTTTGCAGGTACTGTAGGTGTGACTGTTCTACTTTGATGTATTTTTAAAACCTTTCACTTCTCTCAGCTGCGTTACTCTGGCTACTCAAGTTTTTAGTCCTGATACTGAGCAGACTTGGCAGTGATGGATAGCATCTGCCCTTTTGGCTTAGTGCTTTTGCCCATGTTGATGTATTCGGATTGTATCCATGAGGAAAACTGCTTTTGGTGATCTTTGGAGGTCTTTTGCAATAGTTTATGTTTTGAAGAGCTAATACAGAATACCTAGTTTCTCAAGTCAAGTCAGCTGAAAACCCAGAAGTTATGTGGAAGCTTAGCAAAAGTAGTTTCCTATTGCCACCAATATTTTGATGCTAAAACTGTTCCTGTCTTGTTTGTTTGTGTTTGCATAGAAACTGTGTGAGGGAATTCTAAACATGCTTGAAAAAGACACAAAAACTTCATGTCAAGTTGCCTGCCTGGAGGCCCTCCGGATTCTCTCCAGGGACAAGAGGGTTTTAGTGCCTGTAACCACAAAGAGGAACATGCAGATCCTTATGAGGCTGGCAAAGCTGGACACTGTGGAAGATCCTTTGGAGAGAGCGTCTGAATTTCCTGTTATAGTAGAAGCTTTAAAATGCCTCTGTAACATAATTTTTAACAGTGCTGTTGCACAGAAGCTCAGTTTGGAACTGAATCTTGCAGCTATGCTCTGCAATCTTCTGGAAAAATGCAAGGACCAACAGTTCGTTGATGACATTAAATGCTTTGATTTGCGTCTGCTCTTCCTCTTGTCACTTCTGCACACAGATATTAGATCGCAGTTGCGTCAGGAACTACAAGGGGTGCAAGTTTTGACTCAGGCTTTGGAAAGTTCCCTGAGTGTAAGATGGACAGAAGAATATAAAGCGGCAGAAGATCGTGACAGGCCTCCTCTGTCTTTGCAAGAGACGGATTGTGCCATTGAGGCACTTAAGGCTCTTTTTAACGTAACACTTGACAGTTGGAATGTCCACAGCGAGGTAAGGCTTAGCTGAAGCGTGTTTTAAGTTGGTTTTGTTTAGCCTGCAAGAGCCAGAACCGGCAGGTAGATACACAAGAGGCAGTTGTCCAAGCCCCAGAGCAAGGATTTTAATCCTTAACTTCTGCTACTGTCATTTTGATGGAATATGATTGCATTTTTCAAAACAGCAGCTAAGGTATTCTTGAAATTTTGCATCCTAATTTCTCTATACGCAAAATCGGTCTGAGAAAATTTGTCTGAATTCTAATTGTGTCATATATCGATGCTCTGGGGCTTTCAAGAGGTGCCGAGTCTTTAACGTTCATTGCTTTGAATACCAAAGTAACTTTTTTATTCTTGTTATTACTTAGGCAAAAAAAAATCTACATTTTCTGTGTAATGGGAGAATAGTTTGGATTACATAATGCAAGTTAGAACAGGATGTTTTCAAATAAAAAATGCAAAGACAACTATTTCATAAGAGTCTCAGATTTCCAAAAGAAAATAAATGCTGTTTAATAATTAGCTGGCTAGGAAAAGCTTTTTAATGTATCAGAAGGCTACATCTCTGCAGATTGTGGACTATAGCAATAGGGTAATAATTAGAGCTGAGAAGTCTCCCCAGTTTTCTTCAGTTTTTCTGAGTGTGATGATAAGCACATCAACTTTAATTTTTAACAAACAACTCTGAAGAAAGAGTTATATTGTTTTTAATATCTTTATCTCCCAACCTCCCAACACCAGGCTTGGGCTTCAGTGTGATCTTTTAAGATGGGGTCAAATATGGGAACCAAATGCACTTCCACTGTTATGTCTTGTGAATATTTATCTTGGTTTTTCACTGTAACATCAGATCTATTTTTTTTCTTTTTGGAGTATGCTTCGTATGTGTTGCATCCTTGAATTTATGAACAGAAACAATACGGATAACTTTTTGTTGAATAACCTAAGTCTGGGCTACAGTAATAGAATAATATAGGGAATCTTTCTTTTTAGTCGACGTCATATTGTCTCTAAAACAGTGTTGTTAACTTTTCACTGGGCAATGTAAATATGCAGCATATAAAGCTAAGCAGAAGTTTACAGTACTTAAAATTGACAAATAGTCATTCTCTTTAGGACATTGGACTAAACAGCAAATAAGACATTAATCATTAAAGAATGTAAAACTTGAGAAAAGTCTGAAGCTTATTCTTTGCTTTAATGTCTCAAGGTATGCTGTATAAGAAATCCTGAAATTTAAGACTGGGGGGGGAGGATCAGAGAAGCTAATACTTCAAATTTCAAGTAAATATAAAGTAAATGAGGGACTTTTCTCTTGTTCATATTCCTGACTTAGACCTGTTTTAAAATACCTTTACCTTTGTCAGATCTGACACTTTGTATTGGAAAGTGATTGTTTTAGAGGTAAAAACTTGAGTGGAGAAAAATGACCCAAAGTCAATCGCATAACCCAGCCATATGAATTTTTGCTAGTTTGGAGTTTGAGAGTTACCATCATTGTGATCAGGTTCTTCTGTGTGGAGGAAATAATGGCAGGTATTAAGGTGGAAAATTGAGCTATATTATGTGTTCGCCTCTTGAGAAGTAAGGTCTTGAAATCTGGATCTTGAGGCTGATACTCTTAGAATAGTGAGAATCATGAGAGATGAAAAGCCCAGTTTATCACAAAAAGGCGGGCGGGAGGTGGCACTCAACAGCACACAATTGTGGCGTTACCTGATGAGGTTTTGTGTGGCCACTGTCTGTGGAATGAGGGAGGTTGTGTCCCACAAAACTTCTCCTCCCTAAAGAGCCCAAGCATGCAGCTGTCAGGAAATTTTCCTTCAGATTGGAAGACATTCTGGTGTTAGTAACCCCCCCCCCTTTTTTTTTTTTTTTTTTTTTAATTTGAATGAGTTTAAGACATTCTGAGGCGGGAGAAGCTTATTTTGTGTTTTGAGATAAAGCTCATACAATAACTCTTTACTAAAAGTTCCTAAAGGCAGGGAACATTTAGAGCTCTTTAGTAGTTGTAAACCATTAGCCAGATACGTTGGGTGACATTCTGCTTAGCAAGTATCCCTGTGGAAATACTAATGATCTGTAAGAAGAGTAAACAGCATGTTAATTAAGCGGGCTGAAGATGCAGAATTTGAAGAGATTACAAACAGTAGACGGGATGGAAAATAAAAGGAGAGCAGAGAGGTTAGGCATGTGGGTAGAAAACTAAATGAGGTCCATCCTAAGCGGCGAGAGAACCATTTGAAACACCAGTATTTGAAACACCAGTATTTAGTGACCAGAGATGGTTTCAAAGTAGCAAACCAGACCAGAGCCGCAGGTGGTTCAGCTGGCAGATTTGGGTGCTGATGTTACAAAAGCTGCATTGGGGCGCTTTGTGCGAGGTCAAACACACCAGAACATATGATGGATGCCAAGAAGAGCTAATGAAAAAGGATGAGGACAATGATACACACAGTTAAATGATTGCAGCTACTGGTGTACTTTTGTGTGGCTGCTGTCTGGTGGGAGGTTGGAGGGGGGAATCGCTTGGAGCGAGCAAAAGGAGGGCAAATAAGGTTGCTGAGAGTAGAGAAGTTATTAACAAAATGGAGAGAAAGTATCAAGGGAACAGAAGGAAGTGAATTCGAAAAAGAAACTGGGTGGGGGAATGAAACTGTTGGCAGCAAAAGGTCTAAATGAGGAGGTGGCAAATTAAATGAATATACGTAATCTACATGGATGAAGAGGCGGCTGGGTGTCAGTACAGGAAGGAAGATAGTAGTGGTGTATTAGGAATAGTGGTATGGAATTGAGCAAATGCTTGTAATGGGGTTTTCTGGTAGTGAAGGCTCGTTTAACTGGAAGAAAGTCCCCAGGGACTTTTACAAGGCCTAGTTAAAAGACCAGCATGTCACAGTTATGTTGCATTAAGCATTCAGTGAACTCTAAGGTACAGTCCTTTTATTGATAGGGATGGATGTTATGATCTAATAGGTATTTTCCATCTTTAATTTTTATTATTCTAGTGACCTGAAACCCCCACTTGCAATCTTCAAAATGAAAAAATATCTTCATAATTTATATTTATATAGAATGAATCTCATCAATTTCGTTACATGGCTGCCATCCTTCGACACTGCTTATTAACCACGGGCCCTACTGAAGACAAAACTGAAGAGTTGCACAGGTTGGTAGAATTGCGGAACCAATCTACTTTAAATGGTTACTTGTTTTTTAAAAAATAGAAAAAAAACCCCTTTGCTTAAAATCTAAAGTGGAAATCTGAGAAACAATGAAAACTATTAATTTTGAGTAAAATATTACTCTGTTTCATGAAAGCTGTTTGCCTGAAATATTGTTAAACATGTCGACTCTTCCAGCGAGAAAGTGGCTGGCACGATTGTTATTTTTGATCAATAATAATGAAGCTGACCCTTTTGAAGTCTTTTTGTGTGTGTGTGACTGAGAATGAATACATATGGAAGTTCTAGGAGCAGTGCAAATTGAAGTGGAATGCCACTTCTGTTGTTTTGCACAGAAGCTGATGGAAAAACTTGCATTTTGAGATTTTTGTATGTAACTTGCAATTCTGATGGATTGGGATGGAAGTACAAGTTGACGTTTTAGCTCAAATAGTTCTAGGCTGCTTTATTAAAAATACAAATATCAGTTCACTGGTAACAATCTTTTTTTTTTTTTTTTTCCCAAAGATGAGTGAATCATCTTGCAGTTTTAGGTGTGGTGGCTTTTTTTTTTTTCCCCTCAGCGTTGCACCCAACTGTTTGTTATGTATCTGCAGCCAATGAGCCAATAATTCAATCAAAATTCAGAATATTTTTAGCGAGGTGGCCATTCTCTGTTCAGTGTTACTGGTTTGGTTTTTTTTTTTCTGACTCCCTTATTTTTATCCAAGTAGATCAGATGTCCACAGGGCCTGACAGTGCAGTAGCTTCAAACACTACCCCGTGTTATCTCTCAGCAATGAGAGTTAGTGTTGCCGTTTTCTTCTTCAGAGATGTCCGTATATCTTCTTCTGAACCAGCATCTCCAGGAAGAAGGATATAGCTTTTCACACCCAGCAATCTTGAAAGTGTTAAATGAACTTGATTAAATGTTGGAAAGCTCTTAGAGATCAGCCGTCTTAGTAGGTGAACACTAAAATCCTACATCAGAGCCCTTCTCGGTTGGTGCAGACTAGTTTGGAATAGTTTTGGATACCACTGCAGTAGTTGCCGTGACTAAAGTTAGTGCTGAGTGTGTCCTAAAAGGCAGTCAGTGTTTTCTTTTTGCTGCTGCTTATGGTGGGTTTTGCACTGTCATCCTCCTCTGAGGGAGGGAGTGGTGGGGGTAAGTTCCCCACTGCTGGGAAAATTGAACAGATTTGGATAAATACAACAACTACAAGAAGACAGAGGATCAGCCTTTAGCATTTAAGCTTGTACATAGTCAGCAAGACTGTCTGATACTCTGGTGAGTTATTATACAGCTGATCCTCTTCCCATGAAAACATGTTCTGTTTCCTTGTCCAGGAATCTTGACTAGTCTAATCATGCTGTAAAATATATCACCCCATAAAATCTAATTACCTTGTGCTGTTGCAAAAGGATGCATGTTAGGCAGGTCCTTTTGGTTTTAGCTTTTGCAAACACTTGCAGATGAGGTCCAAAACGGGCTTTACATATAGAAGTAGGCAGCCGTGGGGAATATGGAGTATTGGTGTGATTTCTGTCCTTGTTATTTTTCAGTCAGAAGGGATATTTTGTGTAGAGAAGCTGCCCGCATGGACCTTATGGAGACACCAAGTCAAGGCAAGGATTCGCCATAATTGAGAGGGGGTGGCAGAAAAGAGGTGGTAGAAAAGAGATCTGCCTTGTGTCACTTCAGTTGTTTCCCCTTCTCCATCAGACTCAGTATAGCACTGCGTCAGTCTTTCTGTTATGCTGGGAAAACAACTTTCTCCCTCTGTTAGCTAACTCTTGTTTAGCTCAAGTTGACAGAAAAAAGAATGCAGGTATAGTATTGCTTCATGTAGTATTCGATCTTGATTTATGTCATACTTGGAGGTTTTTTTAACATGCTAGAAGAGCACTGCACAGGTTGTGACTTTTGTGATTCAAATATTTCAGCCTACTTGCAGAACCTGAGTTTTGTCTTTGAATGCTACAGGATGCATTAAAAGCTGAATAATTTAATATGCTTTTCCACCAAGAAAAGGCAGCTCTGGAATAGAAAAGGTATAGTCAGAAGTAATGCCCCTGTAAATCCTCAGAGGGATCAGGGGCCTGTATCAGAGGGCCCCACTTCAGTCTACTGATCTATTTGGTCAAGTAAAACTTTCATTCCTGATAGGAGCTTCAATAATGAATGAGTAAACTTGTGTTAGCAGTCTACAGTTAACATAGCATAGCTAAAAAACAGGGCCGTGTCGTCGTTTGGGCTGCTCAGCGTGCCGGACTCTGACCACGCAATCTTTATTGCTAGAGATGAGGTGTGAGTTGGAGAGCAGAGTGCAACATCTCGCTCTGCTTTCCATCTGGAGCCTATCAGTAAGGCGATTACGAAAATAACGTTAAAAATGGAATAAAATGCGAGCAGCGTTGAATGCAGAGTAAACTTTATGAAGCATCAGGGAGGCATAAGTGTATGCCTTAGAATTGCTGATCGCTTGCACTTCTCTACGTTTGTAAATCTGCAGAATGTAAGATGCTTAAAGGAAGGGTTCGGGCAGCCTGTCAGAGCACATTGTATGAGTGCTTGTGCTCTGAATGTGTAAGTTGAGGATTTATCTGAGCATCAGGTGTTGGATACATGCCCTCAGCTGTGATGTACTGGTTGTCAGTGTGACTCTGTTTCTAATAAATAAGCAGAAGTTACCTATAAAAATATCTTAACTAATTTAGTACCTAGTATTGTTGTCGTTATTGTGGCTCTGTCATGTCATTACTTAACGTTTGAATATGAACAGCTTAAAGCACCACATATTAGAGTGAGTGCCATTTTTGCCCACTAACAAGGTTTTAATCAAGGCATTCAGCAGCTCTAAATAGGCCTTTGCTTCTGAATTTGCATATCAGGAGGGGGCTGGGAGCATGAGTGGGTGGATGTCATGTCCCAGTGATTAATGATCTCTAGGAAGCCGAAAAGGGGAGAGTAATATACGCAGTATTTCTACCCCCTGGAGTAGGAATGCAAACACTATTGTGCGGATCTGTGCATAGTCACTGACTTCCTGGTAGCTGGAGAATTTCATACACTCCTCTACCACAAATAAAACTGTCAGTGGAGTGACAAAGATCAGAAAGCCGGGCTTCATTTATTGAAAAGAATAGCTCAGACACAGTGATCCAGAAAATTAATTTTGTAGGTGTTTGGGAACTTGGTTGTTTAATAAGAAACTGGTAAAAAGAGAACTTTTGATGAAAGGCCTGAAGCCACCAAATATTTGTTGAATTTCAGTCTGGTTTGTTTCTGACTATTCCTGAATTACTGGAGAGGAATAACTTCCATGATATAAAAGTCGTATCTTGAACAGGAATTAGAAACAAAACAAAGAGAACAAGCTTTCCAAAAAAGTAGAAGTTGTCTGAATTTCAATTGCTAAAAGAGCAAAAGGGAGATGGCACGATGTGAAACAACCACCCAGTCTGATCAGACCAAAACCAGCACGTTTGTTAGAAATCCTGTTATGTTTGATTGCCATGGTTTGCTTTCTCTTTTACTAATTCTTGGGTAGAATTGTATTAATAACATAAAAACTGAGGGCAGCTTCTAAGTAGATATTATTAAAAGTGTTAAGTTAAATTGTTTGAAAAGTTTTCTGTATTCTTGGCATGCTTCGCCAGTCCTTGAAACGTCGGTGCTTGCAGTTTTGTTGACAGCTTTGAGGTCTGCATATGTAAGCCTAAATAGTTCTGTAGTTTTTCGAAATACATCTATTTGTAAGTTTAATTGGGCATCAGCAAGTAAATAGTGACAGAGTTTTAGTTTTTGCAGCATCTGTGTAATTTAGCTCCGTATTCAGGAAGAGTAGAAATGCGAGTCTGTATAATGAGAACAGGGTAGATAGCAATGTGTACCATACAAGAGACCCTTGCAAAGTAAGTTCCATCTTACTCCATTAAAGAGGAGGGAGGGACCCTGTGGTCTAATTTAAATCACTTAATGGTTATTTGGGAAGTGCCTCTCTTCGTGCTTTGTAGAATGCAAAGACTGCTAGTTATGAAAGGTAGTGCTTGGTAAATAAACCCAAATCTTTTTTAACGTGTTAAAAGCCTTCCTCTACACTACCAGCTATGTAAAAGCGGAAATATTTCAGGGGACCTGAGAAATTGCCACCACGCCCTGCTGTTACAGGAGGAGGAAATGTTTTCTATGGTGTACTTTGTCACGTTAATGAAGGTAATATGGATGTGTTGTAAAATGTTTTAAATTTCAAGGAGGGAAAAAACCCTCTGACCACTGCAAATCAATGTGAGAGTTCCCCCTGCTGTCCTGCAAGATCAGCTGCTGTAACACACTGCTGGAAGCTGTGCCTTGTCTATGGGATAGGAAACTATGGGGGCTGGAAGAGATAATGCACTGCTGCAGTATAGCTTTTGGAGCTTTTGTCTTTTTTTCCTTGTTTGTTCCAAGAGCCAGCACTCAGGCGATAATGCATGCCGCCGCCTTTAAAACGCAGAGAGTAGAAAATAAAGCATTGTTTGAGTTGCAGGGCCTCTTTTTGGTTGCAGTTGTACAGTTTATGGTGAGTTGTACTCTGGTTTTAATTCTTTTTTTCCAAATGAATAATGAATTTTTAAAATCTGTTTCAGCAATGCAATCAACCTCTTAAGCAATGTTCCTGTTTCTTGCTTGGATGTCCTTATTAGTCCGTCGTCCCAAGAGGAAACAGATATAAAATACAATGGTATGAATATGGGAGCAATTCAAATTTTACTGGATTTCATGGAGAAAAGAATAGACAAGGTATGGGCTGCAAAGGTTCTTCACAAAAGGGGCCTCATTCATTAAAGCAAAATTAGGCATATCTAAGCTTCTTACAAACCTTTCAGACAGTACTTAGCACAAATATGGATGGCCTTGCTTCTAGATTGTGAAACGCTTCAATTGAGAACAAATTCCTGTGAATATCTGAAGCATATTTGCTTGTGTGTGAGGATGAACATTTGGCTCTTCGTTTATATCTGTGTAAAGATCATGTTTTATATCTATGTAAAGATCGTGTTTTGCCTGTCATATAGGACTATTGAAGGGTGCATAGGATTTGAAAAGGAAAACTTGCTCTAAAAATGTTTTATTTGTATTTGGTTTTATTTTAGGGAAGCAGCTATAGAGAAGGTCTGACTCCTGTTCTCAGTCTATTAACTGGATGCTGCCGAACTCATAGGAATATCAGGAAGTTTATCAAAGCTCAGGTAAGTAAAATATTCATCAAAATTTCAGTGCGAAGCTAATGATAAACTTCTGAGGTTTGTACGTCAGTGCAAGACACTGACACTTTAAAGTTACGAATGGTTTCATATTAAATTACCCACAAAGTTCTCTGCAGTATTTGTTTTCTGTTAGGTCTCTGACAACTGTCAGCTATAGAAATAATTTTTCAGTCATGTAAATCAATAGATATTATGGCCCAAGTTCCATGATACATTTTGTAGAGCTGTTAAATAATAACATTAGGGGTATTGTAAAGCTGTGTTAGTGGGGGCCACCATGGATCACGTGACACAGGGGCAAAGAACTCAGTGAGGTCTGTCCCCTTACATCCGGCATATCCAAAAAATGTTCAGTGCAGTTAATAAAACTTCGCGAAGCCGAGTAGTAGCTACTGCTGTGTGGTAGCCTGTGAGGCTACAGGTGTTTTGGTGGGTTCTGCCTGAGCTTTAGTTTCACCCCAGCAGGCCGGAGTCATTGGAATTGAAACTGATGTACCGATGTGTGTCAGCTGTTGTGTCAGAGTAAAACTGTCCCTGAACAGAGGCACACTTCGTCACTTGGTCTCTTAAAAGAGCTGTTCAATGCAGTGCAGACGGTGGGTAGGCTTTTTACAGGAAGCAAGATTTCCATGCCGTGGTTAAAGATCTAAAGGATCTCTGTGGCATGGTGGTTGGGTGTGGTGTTTTCCGTTTGGTTTGCTGCTTTTCCTGAGGTCGAGTGGAGAGAAGTTAAAAGATGAGCAAGGCATAGACAGCTGAAACCAGCTGAGAAATGTCCTTTTTCCTAAGCTGCAGTGTTTTTTGGGTTGCATCTTAGATGCTGCTTCCAGATCAAAGCTGCGCCTGAATTCATAAATGGAGTTTATAATGGAAAAGAACATATTTTGCATATATTTTCTGCCTCTTTCCTCTATACCAGAAAAGTGTTCTTGAGGAATTTAAGAAACTCATTCTTGGTGTTTGTTATTTTGGTTCACTGCAGTTCTTTCCTAGGCTTCTCTTCTGACCTTTTGAGTAAAAAAACGGCAACAGTTGCAGAGCCAAATGTTCAGAAGTTAGAAAATGAAGTTGTCTGCATGTTTTTACGACATCTCGGTGTCTAGATGTCAGGATATAATTGCACGCTGTCTCTTACCACAGGACCACTGCCTCATATAGTGCGCAGAATGGATGGAGGCTGCTAACTGCATGACCGGATGTTTGATATTTTGAATTACCCTCATTGTTAAGTGTTGGCCTTAGGCTTTATTTATTGTGCACTATTCAAATTCTGATCTGAAGACAGAATGATTAATTTCCTCATGGACTGTCCTATGGCACTCATCACTGTATTAGTATTAGAGTACTCTAAAAACATTAATTCATTCTTACAACACTCTGTGAAATGGCAGTCATGGTACTATCCCCATTGGGGAATGTAAGCAGGGACAAAGTAAAATGTTTTTGCTAATTGTTTGAATACTTAGTTTGAAAAAGACGAGGTCTGTTTTTTTCAAAGTAGTCAATACTGTAGCATTCATTTGTTTAAGTATCGGTTCCCAGTGAGTCCGATTTCAGTAGTAATTGTGCAGTAATTTTGCACAGAACATGACATTTTTACATTAGGCTCCTAGAAGACAAAAGGGCCTGCAATTTCTTATGACAATTAGTGACAGCTTTGGTTTCATTCCCTAGTAAAACACTGAAGATCCACAATTCCTACAGGAGTCTTCAGACTGTAAAATATTTCATATTATGGCCCAGATTTATTTACAGATCATATAGTAGCCTGTGAATGTGGAAAAAAAATTAATGTAGGTTTTGAGTCTGAAGGCATATGCACAAGGAGGCGGGAGTTAGGTTGCAAAACCAGCCATATTTCACACACCTCCTGCCTTTCTTGAGGGTTGAAGTTAACAATATTAATGACATTTAATGAGAAAATGGTGTGTTTGAGGAAATGTTAAAGTGTTTTCTCCAGAATCTTTTTGAAACTTAGCTTCAGCTTTTAAAAGAGTGTTTTCTGGGAGAAGTATGCATTTCCTCTATATGTGTAGAGCCAATTTTTGAAATTTATGGTGGTAGAACTTGCAATGTGACTTATTTTCCTGCTTTTTCATTATAAGCATATTCATTGTTCTGTATAAATTGCACGTGTTAATATTGTAAGGTTCCTTAAGCTGGTATTTTTAATGCTTTTACCAGATAGCTGAGCAGAACAGAAGAAACAAAAAGCAGGTTACTGCTGCCTGTTGGCCATCTATTTTGGAACACTCATTTGTGCTTTTAAACTCCTAATAGTTGTTTTTTTTTTTTGAAGTCTGCGTTTGGGACTGAGTACTCTTCTGCCCAGGATGGCAGACCAGAAGGCCTGAGTATATTAAGAAGCAAGAGTGATTACTAGTGCATGTAAGCAGTTGGGTTGATTTTATTCCTTTTTTTTGAAGGAGCAGTATTTACACTATTTTCTTGTTCTGTTGACTGTGTGTGTTTCTGCAAGGATTGGATAGGTGTTGCCATGCAGTCTATGCTGGTTTTCCTCTTTTTGTGCCGCTAGGTACTGCCTCCATTAAGAGATGTATCAAATCGTCCAGAAGTTGGCACAACAGTGAGAAACAAGCTTGTGCGCCTTATGACACACGTTGACCTTGGAGTAAAGCAAATTGCAGCAGAATTTCTTTTTGTTCTTTGTAAAGAGAGAGGTAAAAATTACTTTTTCTTCTCCCTTTTATGTAAGGTCTTGTTGTAATTAGTATGTTTGCCTCTTGCTGTAACTCGATTCTTGAAACACTGTGCTGTTTTTTGTTTTGTAGCTGATTATAGCCGAATAATTTTCTGTGTCATTCTTTGCAGTTGACAGCTTGTTAAAATATACGGGCTATGGTAACGCGGCAGGATTGCTGGCAGCAAGGGGCCTGTTAGCAGGAGGAAGAGGAGATCATTGGTACTCGGATGATGAGGATACAGATACAGAAGAATACAAATCTGCAAAGCCAAAGTATAGTATTGTTTTCCATTCTGCATATCCTGTTGCAATTTAGATGATGTGACACAGATTTTTGGGGTTTTTTTTGTTAATCTGTTCCAGAGAGGACAGTTTTGGAATTAATGTTCTTACCTTAACTACTGTCTGTTGACTTTGTGGTCTAATTATTGAGAAACCAGCCTCTTACAGTGACCATCATGTAGTCAGATGGCTCCAGGAAAAAAAAAAAATCACTATGAGAATGATGTAACTGAATAACTGTTTGAAAATCAAGGTGAAAAAAAGATTTTAAAGCACATTTTAGAAAAAAAATTATAGTAACAAACTTAGCAAGGACGGCTTTTGCGCCAGATTTTCTAGGAACTCGTGTGAAGTTGCCAAACTACTAACTACTATTTGTGGGACGTATCTCTGTAACAGAGAAAATAATGGTGTTGAATTGGCTTAAGGTTTTAAGCAGGACTTTGTAAAAAAGGAACAAACCAGTAGGTCTAGTTTCAGTCAATCAGATTGCCTGGTACTAAGTTCTTCCTAAAGAACAGAGTAGGGCACAAAGGTAAATATGGAAGGAACAAAATAACTTCTGTAGAAGTCATGCCTCGGGAATCAACTGTATTTGTTTGAAGGATTCAGTGATCATATGGAAGCTCTGTCAGTTTTATTAATTGTAATTGACGTGGTGTTAGAGGTTCCAGTTTGTCATGTTCCATCTGTGATTCCATGCCATTTTACGTAGGTTTTGAAATCGTTGACAGTGGGCATCTGAAGCATGTTGTTTTTCCGCTTTACTCTGTTTTCCTTGGGTTACACAGATTTACTTAGGTGTATGACGGGGGATTGTGGCTTATTGAAAAATTTCTATTAAGAAACGTGAACGAAAGACAGGATTAAATGTATGAGAAGTTACAGGAATTACATCGCTTCTGTGCTAAGCAGCGAACTCTGAAGGTTCTTTTAATTTCTGCACTTCAGGATTTTTTTTCTTGCTCTTTTGTATCTGCTCTTCGTTCAAAAGCCTGCCATCCAGTTATGCATATAAGTAAAACTGTAACATCTACTTAGTTGAAAGCTGAGACTTAAATGAAACATTCAAGACAACTGTCAGTTGATTTATGCATCTGATTTTCCTGTATTGCTGTTAAATGTTTGTGATTAAACTGCTCGAAAAAGATAACTTGCCCTGAAAGCATTCTTTAAAACTACTTCTCTGCTTTTGTTACCATTTCTGTATCACTGTTCACTCCTTTTAACAGTGAACATAAAACTGGCATTGTAAATTCTCAAAGTAAAGTAACCTTAATTTGGTTTGAGCGAAAGTCATCATGGGAGGGGAACAGTAAAGTAATTCAAAGGTTCTCCATGAACAAGAAAATGTAACTGGAACCTGTCTACATTTTTTAAATTAAGCCTGTGCAGAATTAGTTTCAAACATGTGTCTGTCATTCTGTTCCCCATCTATGTCATTATTACTAATGATTACCATCATTATTCCCCTGCTTCCAGACTGCTTGTGTATGGGTTATAACATAACAGGCACTAGTGGACTGTGTGTTTCTGAGTAGCTAACAAGAAATTAATGCAGTGGATCAACAACAAAATAATATCACGTTTCGTGAGAAAAGGCTGCAGAAAAGGTATAAATAGGAAGGCTGGCTATTTATAGCTAAAAACTTCCATGTGCAGTTCAGGCAGTTCTAGTCTTGGTGGTTTCTGTTAGTGTGTTCCTCTTTCCTCCTATCAAGAAGATAGAAAATTTACCTATTTATATAGACATATATAAACTATTGTTTTTCCACCTCCAGCATTAACCTTATCACTGGTCACTTAGAAGAACCAATGCCCAATCCGATGGATGAAATGACAGAAGAACAAAAAGAATATGAAGCTATGAAGCTTGTCAACATGTTTGATAAACTTTCCAGGTATTATCTTATAGCTGCTTTTGAGGGAGGCAGCTCCTAGCCTGGCTCTTTACTAAGGTCTAGTGCTTCAAAATAGTGCTACAATCAACTTCTTCGCAGGATTAGGACCACTTTAACTGCAGAGAAAAATGTTTAGCACTTCAAAGAAAAGAGTGATATGTAACAGGACTTCAGAGGAAACCTCTTTTGAAGAGGATTGGACGGAATCGGAAAGATCTGGTGGTGAGGGGACCTGCCTCCTAAATGGATAGGCTGATAATAATGAAGAGTTTCCTTTTAAACTGTGGGGGACAATCCAAGCCCAAGGCAAGTGTACTCAATTTCCCCAAGTCAATGAGCAGCATCTCATGGTAACTACTTATGTCTGCTGGAGAACAAATACAGTATGAAAACAGTTGTCACCAGAAACAGTAAATTATATAATGGAGTAATTAAAAGGGAATTTACAGTTATGAATTATTGTGGATTTATTAGAATAAGTGTGGACTGGATTACGAATGAGCCTTTATAATTTGTTTTAAATGACAGAGAATGCCGTTAAATGATACTTAATGGGACTTAAAGGTGTGCGTTACTGACACAGAAAGTTGATTTTTTTATTGTATAACTTTTTACATACAAAAGGGGAACAGACCTGTGCTCTTAGTACAGCTTTTTTTCTCTTTGACTCACTGTACCTAGAATTTGCTATTTTTTCTTCCGCCATGCTCGTAGCCGTATTGTAGTGATTGCTTGTGGTTTGTTTTCTGCGTAAGCAAAGTTTGATGTTCTTGAGGAACACTTAATGTCATACTAATTTACCATTGAACTGAGCTGTAGGAATTTAGGTAAATATGTAAGTGGATCATTTCTTCAAACACGGGAAAACTCAGCAGCTAGAAATGTGTTTGTGTTTTGTGAGAGTCCGTAGCTATTCAAGTAACAACATCTACTGAGAGAAATTCAACAAACCATGTCTTTTTACATCTCTATTAAAGATTAGGAATACAGCAAAAGATAGGGGAGCATCTGGATTTTATATTAGCTGACAAAGACTGAATTATAAGCAGGAGCAAGAGCAGGGAAAGATCTCGGAATAACTGATCAGAGATTATTTGCATGGAAAGCAGGTGTAGTATGTTACAATACTTTTAATAAAGAGAAGAAAATGCAATGCACGTGTAATCTTAATTGAACTGCTATGTAAAATGGAATGATTGCTACATAAGCAAGAGAATGAAGATGCTGAGCATTGGGGGTACCCCAGTAAAATGACTAAATGGTCTAAAACTTTGAAAAGGAAGATCGAGACCGGAGATAAACTAAGGCTGAAGACAAGTCAGTTGCTATCACTACAGCAATAGCACAAAAAGTCCAAAGGGCGTTACTGTAGCATAAGAGCCCTTTCAGTTTGGAGGCTTGGAGACACCTGCTGCGCCGCCGGCCCCAGACTGACAATAACTAAGCAGCTGGGGCCCTGGGTCAGCACTTACCCTCTTGGCCGGTAGCAGTACTTTTACCCTGGGCGTTCTGTCTCAGTTACATCCACCTGCAGTTCCTTCTATAGTACTTAGCCTGCAAACCCTTCAGGGCTGGGAGTCTTTTTGTTGTAAGGTTTTTGTTTGTTTGTGGTTTTTTTAGTATAGCGATCACTGTGGGACAGTGTTGTTGATGTGACCCCTTTAGGTGCTGTCATAACATGAATAAAATCACTTGACTGTTCTTCCCACCCGTTTTGTTTT